CGTACGATCATCCTTGATGTGGTACGCGTTTTACGAGACGGAGAAAGGACGGGTTTCCGGTTCGACCGGTTCGTCGTTAAGAGTGAAAATCGCGATTGCGTGGGCAGATCTATTCTTAGCGTTCCAATATCGCAATTATAATTTTTTACACAATTTCATCGTATCAACGATATGAATTGAAAATGTTTCAAACATTGGAGTTAATTATAGCTTACATCTCGTCGCGTGAAACTTTAGTAAATCCACGTTGTTGAGAGAAGAAAATAAGGCAGATAAGCGATTAAATGAAAAGTAATTTTTTGCTGTCGTTATGCAACGAATAAACCAATAGATCTTTCATTTCCGTCTTTCGATTACTAGAAAAAATAATAGAGAACGAGTGTATGTTGAATTGAAATCACCTTTTACAAGCAGCGTGTCAAATCGTACTCATTTTCACCGGCAAAGAAACACTAAGTCACTGCTAAGCGTTGATGTATCTGGAAGATAATCGTTAATAATCAATCGAGGATATGTTATAATAAAAAGATTGAACATTTCGCGGATTAATCAAAGGGCATATTGTTTAAAGATCCCGGATGCGTCGTAATTACGGGATACAATGTTGCTGCAGGATATACGCGTTAACTGTACAAAGAATAAAAGTTTTCAAAAGGCGCACACAGGAAGATTAATAACATCGGTAGCCACACGTGGCGTGATTCATTGCTTAATTCGTCGAATACCAACGGGATTTCCTGCTTGCAGCGTAAAAATACGAATTTTTCAGAGCGACAAGATTGAATCGCAAAGGTAATTAAACAGTTTCGTACGAAGGGAAGACAAGGGTTTGTGAAAAATTACGATGCGATTAATTACGTCGATTAATCACCTAAGTATTATAATAGCGATGAACTTGATGAACTTGAATTAATTTTTTTTTTAATTATCTGTATGCATAAATTTTAATTAACACTTTGATGCATAAATTTTTATTCAGTATCATATGTTAATTATAATTTGCAAATTAGTAATTTTCTGTTGTATTAGGAAATGAATGGTAATGAATTTTTTGATTGATAATTTCACGCTGAAACGTGAAGCAGTAATTTTGATGATCTCCGATGAATAATTCATCCACTTTGGATTATCAAACAGCAAAACAACACGATCGAACGAACCTCTCGCTTTCCATCTCGATTATTTCAGCGCATCTATTTGCATTTCTGCCACTTTCGATGGGTAAAGCTAGTGCAGCAGCTGAATCGCTTTCTCGCGTTTATCAGCCATTTCGTTTGCATGTTCGCTACTCTGATTAACATAATCATCTTATTAATTTGCGAATTAATAGCTATTCATCGAGCAATCTCTTAAGTGGAATTAGAAATAAGCTACAAGCAATACTAATTCGAATGTAGATACTTATGCAAATATATTAGGTTCATATAAAAATAATAATAACTTTTATGTCGATTAATTAATTTTATTTAGATAAAAGGTACAATTATTTCAAATACCATAAAACTGATCGTTTATTAGAAATTCTCTTTACTAAAGTAATCTATTATTGACATAAATGCAGGCAAAGTAATTTTCTTGGAAACAGAACGGTAATTCGATGCACACTTTTAGTTCGTTTAATGAGATCCATAAAGCTCTCGTTTCCCGAAAAATCACTCGACCCGTTGAAACAATTAAGAGAAAGAAAGCACCGATAATTTGGTGAGTTTACTGACCCATCAGAGAAACTAGGTTTCTGTCGGATCCTCATTGAAATTTATGCTTCGTTCCCGGATGGTTTACCATTTCCGGTACGTTAAACGTCCGGAAGAAAGTCGATTCATCGATGAAACTTCCACGAAGCTTCGAGTTTTGAAGACAGGTCGACGATTGATTCTCTTCGACGGCCTCGTTCTCACTCGTAAATCGCTTCAACAGCTTTGTTATTGTCCTGCTGAACCATTGCATTGTTTCTGTAGTACACGTTTTGTTGCTTTAAGTCACGATTGACCCAGTCCCCATTATTTAAGGGTTAAAATAGAGGTCTCTGACGTTTCGATCTTCTCCGTTTAAGGAGACTGAGCATTTTTTGGGGGTCCAAAAATTAATTTTTGGAGTCAGAATCTATAATTAAACCAATTTTTCCTAGGCTTTTCACGAATTCAAAGGCATGGTTGCCTTTGATCCAGTCGATTTCTATTAGCGTTTCAGCGTAAACGACACAGCACGGTGAACACCGATGGAGAAACGGCGTTCGTGACTAAGCAGCTCCGCTGATTCGCGATGTGTTTGCCGGGAATCATTCTCCACCTGTCTCGTCCTAGATCTCTGGAATTTTTTTTTTCTTTTTCACGTTGTTTCTTCGTTTCCTGCATTCGTTTGAAATCATTTCTGTTAACAATTACAATGCTGTTCCACGTTAAATCATTTTAAAAAATCTATCTATCACCGATCTTGCTTTTTAGCACTTTGACACCTAATAGATTATTCATAGAGAAAAATGTTTAATTTTGTGCACAGCAAGAAACGTATCTTATTCAAGGTTCGTTTCGAAGAAAACCACTGAACGGTTTAAAGAGAACGATTGTTTTTCAGCGAAGAAATTATTCAGATCTCGATCCCTTGTTTCGCACGGTTTAGCAAGAGGAGATCGATGATGACAGCGGACAACAGTTCTCATTTGCTTTGCTAATTCGAGTTTATCGCGAGACGATCGAGCCCGGTGCACGAGGAACTCCTGGAACTCGAAAGTAAAAGCGTGGCGAGGCGCGCGAAACGTTGTGCAAGACGAATCGCGAAACGATTCCGGGCTTCGCCGGTTGTTCCGTTGGGAAAAACGTCCGAGGAAAATTCGTCGTAGAATTCTGTTGGCCGGTAAAATCGATTGCGTTAAAACGATTATCGTTCCGTGAAGTTGCAAAGGTTAGTCAAGGAGTAAAAATTACCACCGAGAGAATAGAACGATTTAACGAGCTCCCAGAGAAATATGCATAACGGGGTTACACGATACTTAAAGAATTTACTATTTGGTACTTGATGGATTGAATAAATTGTTACGCTCTGAAATTTAGAAAGCCGTTTTTTTTTGTGGAAAATCAATTGTAATATGTGGGGCCATTATTTCATTTCAGAGTTTAACGCTATTACTACCAAGCCAGTCGAAATGACTGGCTTCAAGTTTCTTATTTTAAATTATAAATTTTTATTGAAATGTATGTTGGCTGTCGATAAAGAATCGATGTACATGTTACCGTCAATATATGAAAAGCAGGCATAGAATACCTAGGCAATATCGATCTAAATCCTAATATAAACAATATTAATTTTCCCCTAAATTAAAGATCTTTTAGAACTTTTTCTTATTTTACTAACTTTTAAAATAATTATTTTGTAAAATCTTTACAATGCCTAGAAAAAATTTATATAATATTAATAATTTGGATATTTCATACTTTGCCAGAATAAAACTAGGCAATCTATACAATGCCTGCTTTTCATACATTCCCCTAACATATATAATTAATTGCGTTTCATCCTTTATCTATTTAATTTTCTACATTATTTTCAGTCTAAAAATAAGTGTGCATCAAACGTCGGTAATTCTAGTGTTAATAAAATATAAATTATACCATCGTAATAATAACTTTACAGATCATGAGAATCAAGATGCTTCTTAATCTAATTGCTTTCATAACGCTCAACGTATTAATCATTCTTGGTGAGAAAATGAAAATTTATTTATTTGTGAGATAATTCACGACATTGAGAGATGATCACAAGTTCAACGAAACAATATGTATATAATAAGCCTTCAAACGACAAAACGCCTTGAGCAGGAAACTTTTCCTGTATTAGCATACAAATAAATTTCATGATGTAGTTAGAAATCCTTTCAAGGTCTGACTTTCTAATTGTTCTCGACTTTTCGTTGCGTTCACTGTTACGTTTTACCAAGAACATACTAGTTAAAGTAGAAAAGTGTCCCTAACTTGTACAACTTTTATTACGTAAAATGATGGGGTCGAAACTGGTAGCATTCGAACATTAACTCAATTCAAGCCGGTTCTCGAAACGTAAATGTTAATCTCTGACGAGTATGTTTTTCATTTTTCTTCGTAAACTTTTTCTCCGACAGCTACCTGAATCTCGTACAATTTTAGCATGTAAATTAGAGAGTATTGCAAGTGGAACAGCGTGTTATTTGAACCTCATGCAATTCGAAGTTATCTGTTGCAATTACGTTAAATGCCTAGTACTGCAAGAGAACTGGACATTTGTTTGAATATTTTTATCTAAACCGTGCAAATTATATTACACTGGATACGTTTAACAAAAGCACTTTACACAATTATCAATTTTCTCTTAAACTTCAAAATATTAACTCTGAAAACGCTTGTCAGCGTTCCGCAAACTCAGTTGCACTATTCTGACAACTAGTTTATCGATCTGTAATTCGTTTCGCCGTATACGAACGACAGGTTGACGCAATAATTAATCTCGAGCATCATTAACCCTTCATCCGTGATACACTCTAACTTGAAACCGAGATGTTTCATCAGCATCGCTTTCATACGGCTAGTTTAACCCATTGACTGACACAGTAGTAACAACCACGCTTACGATCTACGATGATACTTTAATATAAGGTTTCTATTTAATACTTTCAATTACCAGCGTAATAGCAGCACTCAAAATTTTCTCTTCTTTCATCAACTTTAATTTTCATCAAAACAAAGCAATTTCTCTCGCTCGTTTCTATCCGTATACCGTAGTAAGATTGATAATATCAGTCCAGTAAGATAAACGCGTGATAAATCAGTCAAACACCTTGAACATACATTCGCCTTTCGCAATGAAAGTGTTATGAAAAAGAACCTGAACCCGTATTGTGACTAATTAATGTCTATGACGTCTGAATAGATGTTGATCGTATCTTTGTTAATTTCTCTAACACTACGAAATGTCATTGATGGTCAACGAGCATGAAATATAATCTAGAACCGTGATTCTTTTGTTTTCAGCAAGAACCAAAGCAGGAATTAGACGCTAGCAACGGAAGTAGCAACGGTGGCAGGCCGAGATTCGTTCCTGTGACGGCATTGGAGGATGTGCAGGCAGTTCGATGCGCGGAGTTTCACCCCCATGGAAAATTGTACGCCGTGGGATCGAATTCGAAGACTCTGAGAATATGCTCCTATCCAAAGCTTCACGATGTCAGGTAAAAAAGAATCTCTTTGCTAATTTTCATACTTTGATAGTTGGTCAGAAGGAAAAAATAAATAATTCCCAGATGTAGCGTAAGCGAATAATATTTAAGATTGAGGCTTCGTTTTCCACTTGGTCTCGCGATAATCCCTTCATTATTTACGGTTGGTCAGAAGAAAAAAATAAATAATTCCCAGATGTAGCGTAAGCGAACAATAGTTGAGATTGAAACTTCGTTTTCCACTTGATTTCGCGATAACCCGTCCATTATTTACAGTCGCAAGCTTGGCCTGTTCGCAAATCGACGACGCTCGAGCCGCGTTTAATTTCGCCGCTAGTAGACTAATTTTACGCAAGTGTGCTGACTTAACGAACGGCGAAGGCCTTCATACCAAACGGAGCATTCCTGAATGCTCGACCAGCGTGTGGATTCTTTTATTGCCTCCCATCACCGCGATTCCATCTCTTTATTCTCCTCTTTGTTGCCTTCAAACTGGGCTTGTAAAACTGATGGTTGAACAAGTCGAATATTTCAAGTGATCGCATTTCTAATTGTGTCTATCAGAAGGAGGTAAAAGAAATCGTTCATCTAAATGAATTGGATAAAATTTGTTTAATTTTTCAGTAATTTACAAGCAATGTATTATGGAAATATAATTATCTCCGATTAAACAGACGAATCTTGTTTGCTCATGTTTTTATTGTTTTCGAATTTTCTACTCGAGTTGGAGTGAAAGCGTGATGTTCCTTCCAATTAATCAAATTTCATTTCTCTTCGAAGATACTACCATTAAAAAAACGAATGTTTACTTTCATTCATTGTGATTTAAAAGAAATCTTCTTTTATGGAACCTCCTTTGAAATTCTGGGAATAATGTTGCTTCTACTATTCACTGCTGCAGTGAAAAGGATCAACCCATAGAATTATTAGCTCCTGTATTCTCATTTTACATCACGTTTCTTCGAAACATTCAATTCCCTAAGGAGATGATCATTTTCGATTCATCCGTCAAGGTATCCGTGTTCCACTGTCGCCCCTCGTTCGCGTAGCCTGCAACGACAAGCGTTTCACTCTGTCCGCGTGTAAATTGGCCATGCGGAACGTGATAAACGCGTCGCAGTGTGACAGCGGTTGATTGATAAGCGAGAGCGTGCCTCTTCATTTGTCGCGAAACCTCTCGGTGGAACAGTATCAGTGCCAAGTCTCTTTACCGTCGTTGCTCTCGGCAACGTTTCCGCTAACACTCGTATCCGCTTTCGAGAAAGGAAACCAACAAGACGGGAACGAAATCAATTATAGTAGAGGATCATTTGCAAATCTTCTTCCTTTGAATATTAATTTGTCGGTCAAAGTTATTTTTTTAACTGGTACATTTTCTTTCATAAAACTTAACAATTTCATTATAAGTTTCTCTAAAAGAATCCACCGACCCATTTTACTGTCCACCGATATAAACGCAGTCCAATTATTTGAATCTGTAGAAAAGCAAAAAGCAAACGGAACATGCTTCTCGATCCTCGATTCAACATTCTCCGGGCGGAGAAATCGGAAATTCCCGCTTCGATTCTTCCCCATCGCGATTTCAACCATACCGATCATTTTCCACACGCGATACCCCCGTTTCCATTGGAAGAAAGTGAACAGGCAGATTCAAAGAAGATCGAGACGAGTTTAATCGGCAAACAAACGTACACCCATTGGGGTTCAGTTGAGGGGAACGATTAGTATCTAGCGGAAAGCGTGGGCGGTGTGAAAGTTTCCTGTTTAAAATCGTATCGACAATCCTCTCCCTGATTTCCACGCGATTCCTCGCGGCTTGTTCGCATCCTGCTCGCGTGTTCAATTAAGAACAACGCTCGGGCTGAGAACGAGGATGAAAACGAGGCTGAAGAAAAGTGACGCGCGAGAACGCAGTTACTTGGAAATTTCATCATTTTCCGCAGAAAATTTTTAATTACCATTCATCTGCACGAGTGAAATAGGTAAGCATAACGAGATCGAAATAGAAAAGTACAATGAACGATGAATTTGTCTCAGCTTTGAAATTTATAATGCCGAAGTGGAAAGTTGAATCGAGGATCGGGGAAAAGTGAAACGATTTGCGGGCAAAGCAGCGGATCGATGTCTCGGTTGCGTGGTTTTCTTTTAGTTGGTTTAAGCGATATCTTGCGCGGTGAAATGGAACAAACGTACTTCGAATCGCTTAACGCGTCGTGTAAAAGAACCACGTTTCTTCAGAGAGGATCATCAGACGTATCAGCCCACGGTTCTCTTCAAGAGAACGAAACACCACAAGGGTTCGATATATTGCCTCGCATGGACACCGGATGGGCAGCTGATGGCGACCGGAAGTAACGACAAGACTGTCAAACTGATGCGTTTCAACGCTGATACATCGAACCTCGAAGGTACGTCTAATTAATAATTAAAAAGCACCAATAAAACCAGAAACCATACCTTTACTACTAATCATTAATTAAAGATGATTAATTAACAAAATAAGTTAAATGTGTAATGTAAACATTGTCGAAAGGATCATTAATCTAAAAAATAATTCACGAACTACCTAATCTATGCAATTTAATAAAACCAAGTAAAAACGACTTAAATTAACCGAATAGAATAATAAATAAAATCCTGCCATTCATCACAGTCCATATCCTTTCTACCTCGCTAATCAAACACTGACAGCAACTTCATAACACCTGCAGTAAGTTTCAAATTACTTAACATATCAAGAAACAGGTGGGAAAGTTAACTCGTTAATTGAAACTCATGAATCACAGAGAAATTGTATCACCATGACTTCTTACGTGTCCAGCATTCCACGATTCACGAAATAACAGCCTTTAAGCTTCCTGCTTGTCACTGCGGTAACACCCGAACCGTCTCGCGTCTGTAATTATTGCGTAACCGTGTTCCCGAAGAACTTTCACCCTCGCGAACGACGTATTGACCTGACGACCCCTTTCCCCAGGGCAAGAAGTCGAGCTGACGATGCACGACGGCACAGTACGCGACCTGTGCTTCCTGGAGGACACCTCGAACAAATCCAGTCTGTTGATCAGCGGGGGTGCAGGCGATTGTAAGATTTACGTGACTGATTGCGCGACAGGAACACCCTTCCAGGCTCTCAGCGGCCACAGCGGACACGTTCTAACCCTTTACAATTGGGGTGGCGCGATGTTCGTGAGCGGTTCCCAGGATAAAACCGTACGATTCTGGGATCTGAGAACGAGAGGATGCGTCAACATGGTCACCCCGGCTACGGTACCTGGAAGCAGGGTTAGTTGGGTTCTCTTGTTAAATTTAGCACGAATTTTTCAGACAGAAAACAGGTGATGTGAATTTTTAAAGAATTTTATTGAAGTATAATTTTACTTTAAATTTGATTTACGGACGATTTGTGTAATAACTTTTACATCGCTTGGTTTCTTGTACTCTTTGATAGTCATCATCGTTCACCGAGAGAAATAGAGTTCAAATATTAGTATTTGATTCGCTTCTCGGTTAGTGCTCTTCTCCTGTCATCGGCACCGATCAATGAAATTCTTTCGGAAAAGGAAATTTTTTATTTCCTTTTAAAAAATTGTTTATCTTTTTATTTGCTAATACATAATATTAGAAATCAGAATTTATAATTGAAACCATTTTTTTGAGTACCATAAGTGGGCGAAAAATGCTCACAAAGTGGTGTCCGACGTATAAATTCGTCTGAAGTATCATACAGGCAAGATTTTAGAAAAAGGTTCCCTCTGTAAAATCACGTTTTTTCGGCACTTATGTTCCTTTTTTTCAGTAACCATTCGGCCGATCGAGTTAAAATATTGAATATATATTTTATCCAAAGACTATTTTGAAATTCGTCCTGCAGTCAGATTAGCAGCACTTTCTGAGTTAAAAACAAAGGTTCAAAAAGGTTCATAATTTTTTCTATTTAATATTTGAATATTCCCTTTGGCCATAGTACACATCTATCTTCAAAAACTTGAAGTTGACAGCTGCAGTAGATTTTGAAGAAGAGAAACATGAAATCGGCTTATTTTCTATTTACCACAGGAAATGTCCATTCCTCATGAAACGTTTGATTAATAAACGATAACAGAAAGGATTTCGTTGATCGATAGCGCATCCAGCATGCACCGACGACATCATCGACCTTTTACGTTTCTTAAGTTTCATTTTTCAGTTCGACGTCCGATAAAATTTCGACCCACGTTTTTCAAGTCACACCGGCCCATCTTCTTCACGCATTCTTCTCTCCGTAGATCTCTTTCTTCGGATCGAATTTTTATCGGACGTACCTTGAATCAGCGTGGAACGGAATCGGTATCGCGTGTCTGATCAGCATTTGATACCGTTGCAGGTTGGCAGCCCGGTAGCTGCCCTCTGCGTCGATCCATCCGGACGACTACTGGTTTCCGGTCACGAGGACAGCAGCTGCGTTCTCTTCGACATACGAGGCGGCAGAACCGTACAATGCTTCAAACCTCATGCTGCTGATATCAGAAGCATACGCTTCTCACCTTCCGCCTACTACTTGCTAACCGGTGGATACGATAACAAGCTCGTTCTCACCGATCTGCAAGGTGGGTTCTTCGTGATTAATTAATTAAGGACCAAACTACTGTAGCGAGCTATAAAGATTTCGCCTGGAACGACACAGGTCGAAGAGGAGTCGTTCGGTTCTTTAGATTTACGAGAACCTAATTTACAGTGGTACCTCGGTATATGACCTTAATCCGTTCCTGATGTTTGGACTTATACCGAATATATTTCCCATATTTTGTTATATGAGATCCTTACTTATATGATCAGTCAGTTAATAATACATCAACTCCAAATATAATTGATTATTAATTCAACCTTTCCTCTGAGATAATTATTTAAAAATGATGCAAAATTTACACAAAAAATTTGTCACGTCCAGAGAGGACGTATTCCTAATTGGACGTATTCCAAAGCAGACGTATACCGAGGTACCTCTGTAGTAGATGCGACCGCTTCAGCCAATAATACATTACCACCTGAGGTGGGGCACGACCAATCAGACCAGCTTTCCTTCCGAGTGAAATTATTGTAGCTCCCTACCGCAGTGTCCTCAGGTCTTTCCTAGATCAGGGTTGACGAATTTCACCGCGGGCCACAGTAGCTGTTCTCCCACTTTACCGATTTCTCTAGCATTAAAATTAGTTCCTAATAAAGTATAGAACAGGTATTAATGTGCTTCGCGAAAAAGAAATCCGATGTATTAAGAAAGGAGGGATACGAGTCGCCAGTTAATCACTCCTGTCCTAGATCATCCCTGAACCAAGATTAAAAGAAGACTATGTTACACCTAAATATACTACGGATATTTCATATTTTATTTTATTTGTTGCAGGAGATCTAACGATGCCCTTACCCAGTGTGGTGGTAGCCCAACATCAGGACAAAGTGATCTCTGGACGGTGGCACCCGACGGAGTTCTCGTTCCTAAGTACCTCTGCTGACAAAACAGCAACTCTCTGGGCTCTGCCACCAGTCTAGGCTATCTGAAACTGCAAAACGCGCGTTCGCTACTCGTTATGCTTGTTTCTTCCTTTCAGTAATAATTTCCTTATCGCTCATGGTCGTTCGTTCTTTGCAGAGAAATCCTTGCAGCGTATCATTTTATTATCGGTTTCTCAATGAAAGTAAAAAACGAGACTGAATTTTCTCGCTATCCTAAGATTCGTCGTCGTTTGTACAGGAAATCGTTGCAGGAAACAACGATGAAGGAAGGAGCGATCGCGAGCGATATCGGCGTGCGAATTTCTTGTTAAAACGGGAAGAAAGTTTTTCCTCGTGTACTCGCGCGTGATTCAACCATGACCAATTAAAAGAAATCTTCCTTGAAAATATTCGCACGCAGATGAAAAACATCGTAACGTGTTTGCCGAGCAAACGTTGCACTCTTTGCGAAGCTCGGTTGAGATTAGTAAAAGTTCAATTTCGCGATTGAACGATACGTCGAAGAGCATCGACGAGTCTGGTAGGAATCATAAGACTGCGAAAGAACTGACGGAACATTATTAAATTCGGAGACACTCGACGAACGCGAGGTCGGGAACACCGGCGAAAATTCGCGGACGTAGGATTTTAAAAAATGAATCATCGCGGTCGCAATTTCAAAACGATCGAGAATATTTTCTTGAGTCGAAATCGAGCGTGTCGCTTGTTAGATTCGTGTAACGTTTGTCTCTCCATTTTATAGTTTCTTCGCGGTTGTGTGTTTACCCTGATGTAAATAAGTTAGCGGTAGCGTTAAGAGCCTCGAACCATGGGAGACGAAAATCTTTCCGGAAACGTCGCAATTGCCCTTGATTAATTTTCTTAGTCTTTAAATGCTCTCTTACTCCTTACCCTCTTACCCTTTCGTTGCAGATAGAATCTAGATTTACTTGCATAGAAAATAACAATTGCGAAGATCTACGTTTTTCTCTGAGTTCGTCCATCGACCTTCTATCATTACTCACCTTTCCTTCGTTTCATTTAAACCTTGGAAATAGAACAACACCGTTTCTCCCCACGAAAATTATCGTCCTCATCCCTTGTCCTTTTATCGATCCCCGAAGTCACGCCAAATATTCGCATATATTATATACTTCTATGATATGATAGATTACCTATTCGTATTAAGAGAATCAACGTATTATACGTACGCTCATTATTAATCGCTATTTTTTACCAAGAGGATTTACCAAGAGAGGAGAAACGAGATTTTCTCTGGACTCGAATGATCTCGACGCGCCCTTACGCGTCGTTATCGTAGCACGATAAGCAGAGAATTCTAGCTTTTTAGATTTAAGGTCGTCGCTTGTCGAAATCGCCAAAGCTGTCGAAGTAGCCGGGGAAATCGGGAAAAAATCGAAGGAGAAATTTCTGTTTCAACGCTTAAACGATCGTATTTCTCCTTGTACATACATGCAACGTTTTCGCGATGATCACGATGTCCTTTGGGTTTTATTTCCAGCTACAAACAATGTGAGAACGAACCGCGTCTCGCGTGTTCTTCTTGCGAATCATACATGTACCCTTCGAATGTAAAGACTCCGAGTTGTGACGTTCGAACGATCGCATACAATGACGGAAGAAAGTCATCGCTTGTCGTGGCAAAAAGTGATTTCGTTTTACCGCACGATGCTGCCTTAATATCGTTCTCTCTTTTTTTTCTTTCTATCCATCGAATGATCGATCGAGCAGGATTTCGAAGCGAAAGACAGAGTCGTGGAAGGAAGAGGAACGAGGAAGCGAGCATCTGGCTTCTCTGTAGCAATTTGTCGTGCCTTCTGTCGTGGCTGCTTTCGGCGATTACACACTTATTTTTCTATTTTTCACGATTTAACACATTGTCATCCCTCTGATCACACCACCATCTCGTTATCCTTCACGCGTTCCTTGCACCCCTGTTTCGAAACGATCGTAATACCTGACGACTTCCCCATCGAACTCGGTTAAAAAACGCTGAATTATGAAACCTCTTCGTTATCTCGTACGATAATTACCTTATTATAATATATACATATATACATATGATATAGTATAACTTATAACTTTGTACTTTTCCTGTAGATACGACATAATACTGTCACATCTAATTTAAACAATAAAATTTACGTTATTAATTATCGTGGTATCTCAGTTACATTAAAGAACACCCTTGAATGTGAAACGTTCTTGAAATTTTCTGAATCGTTAAAGGGTGCGGGGTCAATTGTGATCCAAGTTTAAAAAACCTATGTAACAATGCACTCAAATTTTTAAAGGAGAAATTTTTACCTGTTGAAAAATAATATTTGATGCGATGATTTAATGTTTAAAAAATGTGTCTGGAATGAAATTTCAAGCGTAGCTAATTAGATCACTTAGGATAGAAAATCATCGATCTTAGATCCTGAATAAATAAAAAATCTGTATTAAAATAAAGTCGTCGGTCGGTGCGATCAAAGAGAACCTCTATTACGCAATTAAGCGGGTAAAAGCGATTACCGCGGAGTGTCGAAGAGGGTATCGAAGTTCTCTAGGACTTTTCGAAAATTTCTCATAATCACCGGGCAATCATGCAATCTTCCACCCGCGCGCGTTTTACGCGTCCGAGGCCACCGGATTCATCGTTTTCGGTCGAAGCGGTTCCATGAATCGCCGTGGTACTCCAGTTTACGAAATCTCTGAACGAGTATGCGTTAAGGGATTCTCCGATTTACCATCATTACGTTCACTACCCGGGAACCGGCAATTTTGCGAGGGAGAATTTATGTAGGGGGAGAGAAATTAACGCGCCCTGCCGTAACTCGAACATCTACGACGTTTTGTAATTTGGGTGAAGTTAAGTGGAGAATGAGATAAGAAGAAAAAGAATATATGGAGAAATTAAGACGCTCAGGTGATTTTGGTAAATCGAATATCGTATAATCAATCAGTATTTATCAAAATATTCACGCTGCAGGGACCTGTCCTCAGGATGTGACCCACCCACCCACGAAATTCCTAGGCTGCGGTACTCGTCGTCGATTCGTCGAAGCCTGTCGTTTCGCAAATATTCTTGAAATCCTCACCGCGGGCCAGGCCGTCCTAATTGTTGCTGGCCGTCGTTGGATACGTATGCGATCCCTGCTCCCCGAGGACAAAGGCCGTTTCCTTTCTGCTCGAGCACCACCTACGATCGGAATTCCATCCCCTGGAAGGCTTGTAACCGGAGCGCCACGTTGCACAGGCTTCAGGAATGCCCCTCGAGCTGCCAAGTTCGGTAATGTTACGTTTTCGACGCAAGAAGGGACAACGGACCTGAGGCTGTACGACTGGGGAGTCCAGGACAAGTGTTGAATGCCGCAGAAAGTTTTCCAAAAGATCTTGCCATTATTCTAATAACTTTTAAATAAAAATTGCATTCTAATCATTTTTAAATAGTTGGGATGGTTTCGTATCGAAAATTTAAAAGCAGGTTTTAGTCAAATTGAGGAGAATTTAAGAGGGTGTTCTTCATTAGAATCGTTGATTTTGGGCGATTTTTAAGAGAGACTTTTTTTGAATTGTTATAGTCCAAGAAACTTATTATTTTGTAGACAGTTTGGGTATTATTTAAAAAAAATACTGTTTAATTTTTATGATTTCATCTTTATTTTTATTCATGTTATTACATGTTTCTTGTAATGTGTCATTTTCAATGGCTTCCATCATTCAAACGGTTGTATTCATCCCAGATGAAAAATTCAAAGATAATCTTAATCTGTATCAGTGTGGTTATAGCTCGTACCAAAATGAAACAGATAAAACGTGTCCTGTAAAAATGGCATCTATCTGAAATCAAAAAATTATTTTTTAAATTTTCAATCTATTTTTGCTGCTTTTGTTTCATCGGATGTTCGTCTAATGATTTTATAATGCAAGCATTGAAATCGCAATTATTTTTCCAAATTGAACCATAAGATTTTGGCAATGTGTATGGTATATTCTTGAAATACTAAGCTTTAAGAAAATGTAATAAAAAAGAATTGATTTTGTGGGGAATACCTCCTTAATTCTATCAAACTAAAAGGTTAAATTACCTCTATATAGCGAAAGTAATCCATGATTCTCGATTAATAATTATCATCGAAGGCACCTGCGACTGATGGTAGCCATTAAAGAAGCGTGTTTCGAAAACACGAGTTTAAAAGTCATCGCACTTAAATGGGCGAGATAAAAAGAAACGAAATGCTTATATTTAAGGAGAATAACAGAGGGGACTAATTGGCACGTGCCGCGATTCCATCAATTTGAAATTTGCGAGGGAGGGAAAGGATCGCGAGGACGTAAACGCGCGTTCGACGTTAGAAACGTAATAACAATAATCAACCGGTCACGGTTCTGAGAATAATCTTGCATTTCGTCCCGCTAATAGAGTTTCGCAATTAAAAAAGCCGAGGGAAGGCTGATGGATCGAGACCGTTACCGAAATCACGAACAAACTATCAGCCAAACGAGACGCATAGTCAGAACGTTTCGATAGAGGAGGACGCTCGATGCATTAGGCTAATCGTGCCGTTAAATAATTCATCGGACGCGAGGCATTCAAATTAATAACGTATTACGTGAATCACCAGTGATCGAACTCGAATAAGGCGATTGCTTTGTATACTCTATCATTTCCACAGTGGTTCTCCGTCCAAGACCTGATTTCATGGTAGGAATACTATAGATTTTAACCCTTTGACTGCTATGAATGCACATACGCATAATTTATTTCTTGTATATCTTAATTACAATCAATTAAAAATTATCAATGCATATTACTAATAAATACATATGATATCAGATTATAATGGTGTAATAAAACAATGAAAAATAAATTGAAAAATGAAGGGGAATAAAAAAAATAAAATTGTAAGTATTATTGACTTAATTCTTATTTTATACCCACGCAACGTTTAAGCTAAGAGTAGTCAAAGGGTTAAATTGACAATACTTGAGAATTTTTCTATTAAAATCTTTGACACCTGCAATTAAAAATCGTAGGAAAATAGGAAGTGCATGCACCATCAATGTACACTTTGTTTATAAAAAGACAAACGATCATAAAATTACAGGAAACATGAACTGGATCATTATCACCGTCGTTATAAAATCCATTTCTATAGCTCAGAAACGTATGCGCACCGCTGCCAGTCCAAATCGCATTCAAATGAGGAAAAGGACGGAGAGCAAAAAGGAAGGGCCTGTTCGAAACAGAGAGACGACCGCGTGTAATCATTCTCAGAAGGGCGGACGGAGGGATGATGATGATAATAATAATTTGAATGGTGCCCACTTAGCATACGTGTAATTTACCGCTTAAGATGATTTCGTCGTGCTGTTCGTTCACCATTCTTCTACCAAAGCTGGTCCAAGTCCACGAATAGCCATCTCCAGTCGAACGACGAAGCCAGAAATTCGTAATAGAGATTGCAGATACAAAAAGGCTGGACATGTCTTTGTTTCGAATAACAATTGAGCCTGTCTTACCAGTCCCTTTTCTACCACATCCCGTACTCAACCGAAAAGACACAATTTTGTCTCCCTTTGATTCTATTTTTCTAGAAACCAGTCAAAATAAGAACAAGACCGCAAAATTCTTACAATAATTGTTTGACAAAATTGTATTCCCTTCATATGCATTGATAAATAAATCATTTTAAAAAAGCACCTAAATTATTATTTAATTTACCCAATTTCTTTTCTAAGTTATTTATTTAAGTTGCATAACTTCCGTTCGGAGTTATTTTTTTAATGTACGTAATTTCTTTTCTCAATTATTTATTTAATTTACCTGAGTTATTTTCTTATTTTATTACTTTATTGTACTCAACTTGTTTTCTTAGTTATTTTATATGTAAAGCGCAAAGACGTGTCACTTTTCAACTTGAGAACTACTAGGGTTAGAGATACACTTTATATGTCGTTAGAAAGGTCTCGCGGGGTCCCTGACACCCCGGATAGCATAATGTCGATATGCAGAGTATCGCAGGTGCTTCGGGGTCCTCGACACCCCGATGCCGTTATTTCGGTATGCAGAGTATTACCGGTGCTTCGGGGTCCCTAACACCCCAAGATGATTTGCAGACAGCGTCATCGGCGCTCTGGGGTCCCTAACACCCCAAGATGATTTGCAGGGAGCGTCATCGGCGCTCTGGGGTCCCTAACACCCCAAGATGATTTGCAGGGAGCGTCATCGGCGCTCTGGGGTCCCTAACACCCCTATATGTATTACGTCGTGTGCAGAGAGGCTCGTTTATTTATAAAACATCAAACAATGACTGTTTCATTTTAAACAAATGAAAACCATAATATACATGGAAATCATACTTAAATCAAAACATAGTAATTAATTCTCAATATCAGAAAGACCTAGAACGAGGTGCGACCTCCTCAGTCCTATACCGACAGCCGAAGGGTGCGGATCAACTTGTCAAATATACATATACCTCTAATTTCCTTTCGGAGTTTATTTAATTTACTTTATTTAATGTCTTTGCTTATTAAATAAGCTGATCAAAGGGGAAAAGCATTTATGACTTTATCCCTCTTTTGGGTCTCAACCGGTCCCATCCCCTTTATTTCACTTTTTCCAGTTATTTATTATTTTATCCCTCTTGATAGGCCAAAGCCCGCCCTTTTCAGGTTATTAATTATTTTATCCTTCCTTATGGGCCAAGGCCTACTCTTCTTAATTATTTAATACCCTACTCCTCTTTATGGACAAAGGGCCCCCTTCGCAGATATTTATTTCTTCATTTTTTTTATGAGCCTCGGCGGGGACGACCGCTAAATCCCCGTATCTCTTGTATCACTGCATCCCTTACACCCCTGCATTCCTTACATCTCTTCATCCCTTATATCCTAGCATTTCTTATAGACTTACGCCAGAAATTGAAAAATTGTGATGAATTTAGTTCCTTTTTCTACCGCCAGAGGGCGCTGCTTCGGCGTGAAAATTTTAGTTCAAATTTTTGCCGCTAGAGGGCCAGCGATTTTGTACAAATTTAGTTCCTTTTTTCTCCACCAGAGGGCGCTGTTTTTCGGGAAAATTTTAGTTCAAATTTTGTCCACCAGGGGGCGCAAAATCTATTCGTGCTTTAGTTCCTTTTTTCGTCACTAGAGGGCGCTGTATTTTCGGGAAAATTTTAGTTCAAGTTTTATTCACCAGGGGGCGCAAAATTTATTCGTGCTTTAGTTACTCTTTTCATCACTAGAGGGCGCTGTTTTTCGGGAAAATTTTAGTTCAAATTTTGTCCACCAGGGGGCGCAAAATTTATTCGTACTTTAGTTCCTTTTTTCGCCACTAGAGGGCGCAATGCAGGGATTTAAAGGTTGCAGAGATGTAAAGGATGCAGGGATATAAAGAAAGCAGGGATGTGAGGAATGCAGAGATATGAAGGAAGCAGGGATGTAAGGGATTCGGGGATGTAAGGGATGCAGGGATGTAAGGGATTCGTGGATGTAAGGGATGCAGAAATATAAGGATTGCATAGATGTAAGGAATACAGGGATGTAAAGAAAGCAAGGATGTGGTGTAAGGAATGTTGGAATGTAAATAATGCCGGGATGTAAGGGGTGCAGACATGTAAAGGAATCAGAGATGTAAAGGATGCACACAGGAGTAATAAAATAAAATCAACACGTTCTTCCTCCTAATGAGTTTATTCAATAAGCGAAGAAGATGAATACAGCAAATTAAATGGACGCAGAAAATAAAATAAGGGTATATACATGTTTAGCAGGTAGATCCGCATCCGTCGGCGGTCTCTGTAGGACTGATAGTGTTTCACTTTGCTCTAGATCATACGGTTAACAACGGTGCCGCAGTTAGCTACCTTTACTTGAATCAGTAGCTATAAATATTTTTTTTTTCTTTTTTTTTAACGTGGGGAAATCTTGCATAAGACCCCCCACCGTCTCCTGTGGTCGACACCGGGGGTCGCAACCGGTGCTGGCCTCTCCTCGGACCGCGTGCAAGGGCCTGGAGCTCCTACTCCAGACACCTAGTAATGGAGTATAATCGTTGCTGTTGAAATAATCTATTTACCATCAACGTGCGTTAGACTGTTGCAGTGCGAAGTACAGTAAAACCTCGATAAGTCGTCATTCAAGGGACCGAGAAATTTTTACGACTTAAGCGGAGTAAAAACCATGCAAATTTTAAAATGACGAGGAAAGGAAAATGACGACTTATCCGGGTGACGACTTATAGAGGTTTTACTGTATTTCACATTTTTATACCAGGATATAGAAAATTACCTCGTTCTCAGTACACAAATTCAAGAAAACAAAGGCACGTCCAGTCTAGTTGAATCTGTAGTCGCTGTTCGCAATCATAGAGGGTTGAAGCTGGAGGCGGCTGTTCAGAGACACGATCATCTACTGAAATGAAATGCGAAGGAAAACGTGGCCAATTTGTGGCCGGTCGTTCGCTAGAGTCCCAGCCAATGTTCGCCAACCTAAGGGGATTTCAACGACCACAACGAAGATGCTTTTTATCGCTCGCTGTTTCTTTTTCTTCCTTTCTATCTTTCGCTATGCTGCTTCTTCAGAATTTCTCTGTTCTTGCTACTATTTTCTCAACTTTAAAACGAGTACGACTTCACAGA